CGTTAACACACCCAACATTCATTCACCTAACCTATTGTATATATACACATATTAATAATTATTATTCTCCTTTGCATTTATATGCTTTTCCTATTCAATATGGCTTACCTTCCTTTGTATTTATTTATTTTTTCTAATTAATCTTATAAGTTTAAAAATATAACACCGAAAATATATTTTAAGAAGTGTCCTATGTTCACCCGTTAGACTGACCGACACTCTTACTATCATTTTGATTATACAGTTTTCATTTATTAGATTGTATGATTTAACACTTTCACTATCATTTTAATCATATAGTTTCATTTATTGGACTATATGATAAAATAAATGATGGGAGTGCAAATAACAAAAATATAGTGTAAATATGATAATATTTTGCAAAATTTATTGTACTTTTACGTGTTATTGTGTCAGTGCCTATATTTGTTATACCATTCTCTAAATTACGCAATGCAGTTCCCACCCTCAATTGTAAAAAGCCAGTGGTCCGGGTTGGATCGGATCCCCGGAGGCAGGGAAAGCAACAAAGGCTCATGGGCCCCAAAGGAGGGGGAGAGGCTTGTGGATTGTTTGCAGAATGGAGACGGTATTGTCCCAAGGGCCCAACTGGACATTAGAGGCTCTGATTTTATTCTCCTCTGCTAAGTGGATATCATCTGCTAAGTGGATACTTTGAATTGTCGTATGGTTTGGGTTTGCATTTTGTAAGGACGTAAAAGCCTTAAAAGAGAAAGTGAGTGTGGTCACGACGACCGGTGTTCCACACCAGAAAAATATTGAAGTTAAAGTCGAGGATGGGCCTAAGGGTTCCTTCAACTGCTTTACTAAATAGGTTGATACGTTCCGATACATTTGATAAAATCCGAGAAGCCGAGTCCTTGTGCTTTTGTTCATTTGTCAGCGTGTTTAATCTCCAGTTTACCGAAAACAATACCACTTTCCTTGAGGCCGAGTCCATGTTCCTACTTCCTAGAGGTTAAGTTGCAGAAGAAAATGTTTTGGCGAATTTTTGACAATCATGTTGAATTCCTACGCTAAACAAGATTATCCCACATATGCTGATCGACTAGTGAATGTGTGAACTGCAATACTTTCCAGTACAAAGTGTTTTTCTTGCAAAGTTAGCAGCAGCTTCTCATTCTTCCTCTAGACTAAGGCGATGTCAACACAAGAAATTCTCATGACCAACTCATCTAAGCAATTTGTTAGCATAAATTGGAATGAAAAGAACAAGGTGCAGTAGTTCAGGCGACCTGTCCAATTTAACCGCAGAGAAAAATAGAACATCTATCTACAGGCGAAAGGTGAAGGTATCTAACTCTGTTGCAAAAAACAACAGTAAGGTGTCAATCACAGTCTCCATCTATTAATCCAACAACTTTGCAGATCACAAACATATATGGACAGCTGTTCTAAACCAATGCGCGTGATTCAAGCATAAGGCGGCAAAAACAAGTTCCCAACCCTCATGTCACGTACGATGGCGACGTTAACAGGACCGTGTTTTAAGATGAAGAAATTCCTTTGTTGTGCCGTTTTATAGCTGTTAATGGCTGCAAAGCTGTGAAATCCCAACTGATGGTTAAGATGAGGATGCTACAATTTCCATGACTTGGTCGAATAAAAATTGTTAGCCGGCGAGCATACAAACAACTCTTACATGCATCCAGAAGCTAACGGGTTTAACAATAAGGAAAATCCAAGCCCTGACAAAGTCGCAACCAACTAAATTGACTTGTTAATTTGCCTAAATATTTAAGGGATTTATATAACTATAGATGCATAAACAACTTTTCAAGATTAAGTTAACGTAATCAGCCTTGGCCATTTTTTGCAGCCATGTCAAGTGAAGAAGGATGGATAGCTCCCTTTGAAGAAGAACTGGCAGCTAGTCATCCGTCATCGACTTTACAAAGAGGTGGATTCGATCCACAAGCTGGAATCTACCATTCATTACACAAACTCAAAGGGACTAATCAGAAGATCCCAATTAGGCCTAATCTTGATACAGCAGCATTTGTTCTATCACAGTTCCCACCTGCTGGCCAAGCTGAGAAACTCGTTGCGCTCATTGATTCAGCTACTAACCAGAGAGTCACGTACGCTCAACTCAAACTATCCATCTACAAATTGGCCACAGGGCTGTACCATGGACTTGGGGTGAAGAAGGGTGATGTTATCTTTGTCCTGTCACCAAACTCTCTTTTGTATCCAACCATATGTCTTGCAGTACTCTCTATTGGGGCGGTCCTAACCACAGCCAACCCGCTCAACACTGCATCAGAAATTGCAAAACAAGTAAGGGACTCGGGTACAAACCTTGCCATTTCCACCCCAGAAGAGGCGGATAAGCTGCTTCCAACCGGAGTGCCTACCCTCCTCACTTCGCGTAGTAAAGATGGTGTTGCACTTTCAGTTGAGGAGTTGATTGATTGCTGTGAGCCTCTAGAATTACCATCAGCTCGGCCAGCTCTTTCGGACACTGCTGTCATACTTTACTCTTCAGGGACTACTGGAGCAAGCAAGGGTGTAGAAATAACCCACTCAAATTTGATGTCCATTGTGATACTCCTCAGGTGGTCTGCAGAAGTGTCATCATCTCTGGATGATGTGTTTTTGTGCTTCCTCCCCATGTTTCATGTCTATGGCCTTGCATTTTTTGCTCTGGGGTTGCTTGCTTGTGGAACGACTAATGTGGTAATGCAGAAATTTGATTTCCAAGAAATGCTGGAAGCAATTCAAATTCACAAAGTCAATAACATTCCGGCAGTTCCACCAGTGATACTTGCCCTGGTTAAGTACGACCAAGGTGGTTATGACCTGTCATCCTTGCGAAGAGTCGGATCTGGGGCTGCCCCGTTGAGCAAAGAAGTTACTGATGGGTTTAGAAAGAAGTTTCCTGGGGTGGAGATGAGGCAAGGCTATGGACTGACTGAAAGCTGCGGTGCAGCTACATTCTTTGTGTCAGATGAACAAGCTAAGACCCATTCAGGCTCATGCGGACAATTGATTCCGAGCTTTACTGCCAAGGTGGTGGATGTCGAGACTGGCGTGGCACTGCCACCGTTCAGAAAAGGAGAACTGTGGTTTAAAAGCCCAGCAGTGATGAAAGGATATCTGGGGAACCAGGAAGCTACGGCTGCAACAATTAATGCAGATGGGTGGCTGCAAACAGGAGACCTGGGTTATTTTGATGAGGATGGCTGTTTATACATAGTTGATCGGGTAAAGGAGCTTATCAAGCATAACGGTTATCAGGTACAAAGAGTTGATTTAAAAAAAAAATTCAATTGCTAGAGAAATACCAGCTAATGGGAGTAAAATCAACTGCACTAAAGACCAGGAAGAATTGATCCACGTTCAAATGCAGGTAGCTCCGGCAGAGTTGGAAGCGACGCTTTTGAGCCACACTGATATACTGGATGCAGCAGTTGTGCCGTATGTTTCACTTTCACCTGAAATTTAAGCATATTACATGTTTCCACAGGCCAAACCAACTTGCACCCAGGCCCCAGATATACACAAGTGCTTTCTAATGATTAAAGAAACATGCAGGCTAGACGATGAAGAAGCTGGACAGATTCCAATTGCGTATGTGGTAAAAGCAGCTAATTCTGAACTCACAGAAGATCAGGTCATTCAATTTGTTGCTAGCCAGGTTAGTGCAAGTCTATTAATGAATGGTTTCTTATTCACTACGAAAATATTATTATTCCTAAAGCCAAGCCCATGTATACCAGGTTGCCCCATACAAGAAAGTTAGAAAAGTGAGTTTCATCGATGCCATACCAAAGTCAGCAGCAGGAAAAATTCTGCGGAAGGATCTTGTTGCACAAGGAAAACAGAAATTTGTATCCAGATTATAATGAATCTCACTTGATGTTCTTGCTGGATCAAACCTTCTTTCTCATTCTGTGTATTACCTATGCGAAGAGAAAGAGGACGTAAAACATGTCTCGGCCTCATCACTTAGAAGCACTTTTATTAGCACAGGATGTACGCCACTGCGATAGCCTTGAGTTCCAGCTCTACTCATGAATGACCAAGCAGCATCTAACGTTGCAATGATGAGTAAGAAAAATAGAGAAAGGATGGTACAAGTGAGAAAAAGAAAGCAAAGTACTGATACATTGTAAGGTGTTACTTACAAGTTGAATAAGAAACATAAAAGAGTCGACAAATTAGCCAGAGAGTGCAAGGTTAGTACGTGTCTGAAACCTCATCATCAAGTATAAATTCGAAAGATTGTTTACATTATTCAATGTTAATTAATCCACCTACATTTGGATTAAAGTTCGACCTACGAAGTCACAATTCTCTGAAGATCTTGAAAGTTTCAAATACTTGATGATTCACGTAGAATGGCAAATAGCAAATCACGTGATTTGAGAAGAAAAAACATACCAGATTTTTTTCGATTGTAATTTTTTTGGGGTCAAATTTATTTATTTGCATCATCAACACATTTTTCAATCATCTTTTTATTTCATATATATCAAATCAAAAAAAGTGCTACAGTTTTTTTTTTTTTTTTTTTTTTTAAAAAAATTATCTCAAGTAATCTACCGTCCAGACACATTAGTATGTTCTTGCATGATTGTTTCACATTTTTCTGCTTAAATCATCTCCTAAGAGAGTGCGGATCAGGGAATCGATTTTTGCAACATTATACTAACAAATACAGGTCCCCTGCATATCGATTACATACTCACCGTATGTTGGAAACAACACATCGTAGAATCAATCTGAAGGTATCCCATCTCGTAAAAACGATAATTGGATTTAAAACTTGTGGCCTTTTCCACTATTAGGAAGAAAAAGAAGCAGTGTTACTAAAAATTGGCACACACATACTGAGAAAGAAGAGTCACTCAAACAGCAGGAAAACCAAAATAGAGGCATTTCAGCATGTAGAGAACTGACAGAACAATCAATCTTCAAATTTCTTTATCTTCTGACATCAAACATAACCACTCCACCAAATAATGCACAAAATCTGGGTTGAATCACCAATATGCAAGACAATAATGTCTTGAAACCAGGAGGGTCATGCACATCTGATCGGTTACAGAATAAAAGATTATTCAAGAGAAGCTGCAGGGTGAAGGTACGAGTACAACAGCAACGTTGGTGTCAAAAAAAAAAAAAAATTGAAGCCAATCGTGTGACTTTACATATCAAAAAGAAATAAATGCAAGTCATTGGAGGTGTAACTGCAGTAAATATTACATGAGGAAGGAAAATAAAAATGGAACCTTGATATCAAAAAGTTACATTCATGAAGATAAAATCGAAAGGTCCAACAAGGTAACTAGAACAATTAAATGAAACTAGATTGCCGCATCTTCGAGATACACGTCACTCCATGATCCTTCCCTGAGCTGTTAAATACTTCCCAAAGGAAGTGTATCAAGTTTCTTGCAACCGTGTTTATGGAGGATGACTTTCCTTCTGCAGGATGGACCGTTAGACTATATAGCGCTGACCTTAGATCAGAGTAGTACTACCCCAACTCATCCTGCAATCCACTTCCAAACACCAGAATTTTGTCTCTGGGCACTAGCGGCAGCAAGTTCCATTTCACGTTCAAATTCATCTTTCTGTTTCCTGAGTATTTGAACTTCCTCCTCTACCGGCTGCAATGACCCCAGATTCTTCTGTAGCTCAGCTATAAGTGCCTAGCACCCCATTAAACGTGAAGAGGAGAATTTCAACCGCTCATACAACAGAATAAAAAAGAAATTGCCTTAAGACAAGAACGGATAATTTTCTTGCCAACACGAGCATGAAGCACATGAGAGAGTAGAATAGAATTTAAGCCAGTAATATAATCAAGAGGAAACAGTTCTGAAAATAAAATTCAAGATGAATAAGAGAATAATAAATGTACAACCTCAAGTTTAGCACATCTTGATCTCTCATCCACAAGTTGACCTTGAACAGATTGGAGTTCCTGAAAAAAGTAGGACGGATCATATGCATGAGAATTAGCTGACTAACAAACACCAAGCAATTTCTAATGATGATCATACCTTTGACAACTCAGCATGAGTTCCATTAATTTCTTCAATCTTAGCCTTCAGAGAAGAGTTTTCTGATCTGACCTCTTTAAGGGATAACTCCAACAACCTTTTTTCTTCTCTAATTGAACTGATCTCGACTGAAAGATCCTGCTGGGAGTGATCCACCTGAATGACCTTGAAATTTGAATCTTCTCTTTCTGTCAAGTCTAACTTTTCAGATTTGGTCAAAGCATATGCAGCAGTAACAGAAGCTGCAGCAGCAGCAGCTGCTGGGGATTGGAATATTTTGGGAAGTAAATTGTCCTTCAGTTTAGGCCTCATAACAAAAACCTAGATTTCAAAGAGAAATGTGAACCGTTTAAGAAAGGTGTTGGAGGAACCAAGTCATCAGGCAAAAGAGAAAAATTGGTGCAGCTTAGCGACAAAGAAGAGAGTCCTGAGAGAGAGAGAGAGAGAGAGCGGGCAGAATTGTGTTATAGCAAGGCAATAAAAAATTTTGTTAAGAGAATTGTAGAAAAAGTGTTGATAATGTGTACAGAAAATGGAGCTTAAAATTCGCATAATGTCATGCAAGTTAATTCTGCCATTCCAGAAAATATAGGAATTCAAGATGGAGAGTTTTTAGCTCTAATATTCCATTGTTTTACCATGCATCTGGTATGCCCATGTATTTTACTATGTGATTGCACTTCACATTGTGCTAGTCATCGCAATGACAATATCCACCTTCAATTTTGAAATGATGTGACATGTACTCAACAATTGATAATAAGTTTATCCTCGATTCCAGGGCAACAGAATGCATCAGTACCTCAATGATTACATGTTTTTCTCACGTCTTGTATTGGCTACATTTCCTAAAGCATGCCATGAAGGTAGACAAAAAGACAACAGGGACCTATACAATTTCTTCCTTTGACCCTCAAATACTTTGATAATCGAGACACAAATCCCTGTGGCTCTAACTGAAAGGCTTTAGGTGCTCAAAGCCCCTAACACCCCCCCCCCCCCCAAAAAAAAGAGAGAGAGAGAGAGAGATGCAAAGATCATCACCCTAAGCAACCAGTCCAGAGCTTTCCCTTCACTCTCTCTTTTTTCTAATTTAACATCATTTAGTCACTTGCTTCACAACCAATTCAATAAGATTTCTGTAACTAAGTAGTTAATGACTACCTCACTATCTTCCCAAACATATTGACAGAACACCCTCTACAAGACGAAAAGACAAAACATCTATATCCCTTTGCTGCCTATGCCATCACTGAAGTTCAGAACTAAGCATCCAAGTGTTGAACCGAAACACTTGGTGTTTAAATACAACATCTGTTCAAGCTAGAGAGACAAACAAAGTTTTCTTCCCTTATCATATGAAGCCAAAAACTAAATCCCTCTTGATCTTATTTAATTCCTACAAAACATAATCCTCTCACTAAACTGTTTGCCACCCAAACATAACATTGTGATCAGCTACTGAAGTGCGTCTGCGTGTGTGTATATTGTGCCAGCTAAGGGACTTCTAAAGACACAACCAGCCAGTAGATCAACCACAGAAAAAAGATACCTACAAGAGCAGGGTCAGGTTTATATTCATCCATCAGACCACAATGGGAAAATAATCACATAAGTAACCCTTTTTTTTGGACTCATAAAGCTACATGTCAGTGGTCAAAATGTGTTGTTATACATAAGTTACATTTGGCGATCTAGTCAGTAATTAACATGAATAGAATGCTTTAGAGAATATTGCATACTTGGAGGACAACAAGCACCATCAAGTAGTAGTTACATCTAGGTGGAGATGAATTGCAAGCGACAAATCTCTACATCTTCGCAGACTAATGAAAGTAGCACACTATACAGACATGTATAGAGAAGATACCTCATTATTATATTTTCCATTATAACCACCAAAGGCAACCAAGAACTTCTTGGTGTCTAGCACTGCAGAGGAAACACTAAGGCCCTGTATTCAGAGTTGTGTCAACCATTAAGTGGTAACCAGATTATGGATTTAAAAAAAGAGACAGAGAGAGAAATATAGAAAGAATAAATGAATGAATGAAAAAAAATTTCCATGCTTGCAGCATGATTTCATCTAAAAATTTGAGCCTAATAACAAAAGGAAGCAAATTGAGCTGCAGATTGTGAGGTAAAAAAGAACAACATAATCACATGAGAGAAATAAAAACACTTGTACATGAATAGAAAGAGCAAGTTTCACTGAGAAATTTGCAGGCACCGTGTCTACTTGGTTGCCGAATGTGATAAATTATTAAGAAATTTAATTCTGATACTTTAATCAAACGACGTCACCAATAGAACTGCCTCCTTCCCCTTCAAGCAGGAAATTTTTCATGTCTGGAAAATGAAGTTTTACCACAGCATCATTCTTGAAGAAAAAAATAGATAGGTGGTTTTCAGTATCAAATATATAATCCACCAATTTACAAGAAATGTCAACTCATCACACAAACCCGAAGAGCATTCCCAGAAAACAACTCTCTTTAGTGATTTAGTTGCTATGACCCTAAAGCTAAAACTTTTCACTTTAAATAGCCAACACTCCAACTGCATAGAGACTTTCCGACAAAAGTGGGGAACCATTTACATTTTTTAGAAGTCAGCATCCGCAAATTCCAAAATTAACCAACAAGGATTTAAAGCAAAAGAAAGTAACCTCACTGGCTAGTGGCTCTCTCCCCTTTACACTTGTCAGCACTGACACAGCAAGCTTAGACATATCCAGCAAAAGAGTGTCTGGGGCACCTGCAACAGAAGTCCAAATAATCAGCAATGGTATGTGGAACTGCGGAAGGAAAACAAAGCGAGCCAAGAGTAATACATATATACCACTTCTATTATCTCCGCCACCAACTATATACCAATTCTCATCAAGGGTGACACCAGCATGACCAGCCCTCGGTCTCATCAGATCCCCATGAATTTGCGGTTGGGACCATTGCATCTGCAATATTGCAAGCAAGATGATATACTTTCTGATACATCCCAACATGCTCTAATTGGCAGCAATATTTAACTAGAAAATACCTAATTGCACCAAAGAGGAAAGAGCAAAAAAAAAGCATGGCAATATTTCCAAGCATATCCTTTTCAGACCTATCTAACCAACCCTAATGATAAAATACAATAAGCTGGAATAACAGAAGCCAGATATCTAACACAATTCTGAGTTGACTTCTTGCAACAAATATTGCAATTGTCAATCTGTGGTCACAGGTATTGAGTCTCACCCGAATGCAGACATGCCAAATAAATCTAAGCAGGTCATGGACACATCAATCAGTCTCATAGAACCAAAAAATTTGCTTCTAAATCCCAACGGTCAAGGAAAACACAGAGTGGCTTATGACTGACCCAATAAATAATGCAATCAATAAAAGACAAAATCAAACAACAACCATCAAGGAAGTTTTACATGAATATTCAAGTGATGAATTAAACATTAGATATGTGCCAGAATGCAACTATAGTAGTACAAAGAATGAAGAACAATTAAAATAGAGAAACCCTTATCCTTGAACACAACAGGTCAAAGGCATGCTGCTGCATCACATAAATTCTTAAAAAGTGTGTTGCCATGGAAAGCCAACTAGGCTTACAGCAAACAAGTATTTACATCTGAATGTGCTAAGAAATTCACAGACAAGGCACACTTACTGTTTCCAAGTCCAGCACATGGAGATCACTAAAAAAGACTGAATGAGAACAACCGCCAGAAATCAGAAGGTAGCGCTCTGTATGCAGTGCAGCTGCATGATCAAATCTTGGAGCTGGAGGTGTCTGCCTATCAAGATAGATACAAAGTGAAGGGAAACTCTTCTACAAGCATAATGACAGCAACTAGTAAACACTCAGACACATACGTAGTCTCCACAGAGCTCCAAGTCATGGTCTCCAAATCCAATATCTGAACATCATTGAGCAGTCTTCTATTCCTGTCTTCTCCGCCAAACATTACAAGCTTAGAGCCAACTAGTGTAACAGATTGCCCACCACGAGCTACCTGGAAACAGTATGCGCACAATGGGTCAAGAGTACCAAAAACTTAATCTAGGGTCCCCGCATGGAAAAAAGAACACCAAGTAAGACCCCTTTTCTCACTGACTGAGTTTGGTTGAAGGACAAAAATTTTTTGTAAAGAGTAAACGTGGGAACAAAATCCTGAAATAAGGCAGCAGAATATTCACTTACAGGAACCTTTCCATAGGTCTCTATGACACCACAATTATGTGTTTCAAGGTCGATAAAGTGCACTGCAAGAATTAATCAACTAGGCAATAAGTCCAAAAACATAAAAATGAAAACATCAGATTTTACTGCTCAGGACAAAATTGATCTCAAATAATAAACCTGTTACACCGTCAGAAACATGCTTTGAATGACCAGCAAGAAGCAACAGCTTGTTTTCCCACTTAATCTGCAAATGGAATGTAAAATGGTTGTATTATTTGTGAAAATGCACCACCACATTCTGAATGAACTAAAATCCATTCAAGCTTCAAAGTCAAAAAGTCAAATTGAATTAAAGTTGAAGTAGCGCAAAAAAAAAAAGATCAGAAGATCAAAAAGAATACTTTTAGGCCTATATCTCACCATACAGTGACCAGCGATTGCAGGAAGACCTTCAAACTTGATCCCATCATTCATCTTAACAGCATTAGATTCCAATTTCAACTTTATAGTGGACCATGTCAGACTTTTAAGGTCAAAAGCCTACAAAATAAATTAACTAATTCACAATGTGCAAGAAAAAAAGGCTTTGAAAATAAAATGAATGATCAAGATCAATACCTGGACATCAGATAAGTAGCGCCCATTACGGCTTCCACCACTAATATACAACTTCTCATCAACGACAGTTGCAGCATGCTAGAGGTGCAAGAAGGAAAGGGCATAGGAAGCAGATAAGACACTAGAACATAGATTACTGAACCATCAACAAGTCGCAATCTTGAGCAGGGTTTTGTGAGATAAATTTGGTTGTGAAATAAGGGAACTGAAGATACTATATTGTCACCACGACTTTGCCACAAAAAATTTAAGATTGCAGAGCCAGAGGTAAGAAAGAAGTAAGAAAACGAGATCAGTTTCCTTAAAGTCCAAGGACCTAAAGAGACTTCTAAACATTGACAGTACCTTGTAGCGAGCAGCAGGTCGTGGACCGGGCACTGGGACTGCTACCCATTGATCAAATGATACATGCAAATGCCAATTTTGATTATCTGTTCCCATAACAGCTTAACCCCTCTTCACCAGACTCAACAGAGTTTAGTACTGCAGACTGACGTAGCCACAAAATCAGAACAAAAATAAAAATAAAAAAAGTATCAGAAGAAAAGAAATAGCAAATGACACAAACTTAATATTGAAAAGGAAAACCAAAAAGATAATAAAATATAGTGCTAGAATGACAAAAGAACAAAGTACCAGACAAAACTGATAAGTCTGCTGCATAGAAATCCATCACAAGGAAACATTCTAGATCAAGTTCCCATAAATGATTGTCTGTTGAGAACATCGACTTCTTCTTTCCCATAACAAATTTAATTTGTGCATACAAATCTACATAACCTGTCTGAATTTAACCTCTTATACAGGTGTGGATCTCGATTTCCAGGAAAACCAGACCTCAAGAAACCCAATAAAGTACTTCAGTGCCTGGGCTAACAGTATACAAGTTAAAGTGACAAAAAAAAAAGGCAAACCAATACTAACAAAAGTAATCATAAGAGGCTATGAAGGAGGAATTAGATTGAGAATAAACCCAACAGGAATTGTTCAGATCCGGAACCGTGAAACTAGAGAAGGCTGCATTTGAGCTAAATGAGCAGGGATATAAATCCAACCAAAATGCGTGACATGAATGTGATATAAAGATCGTTTTTCTAACACTATACGTCGAGTCATTTGTTCCCTTTTGCCTAACAACACCAAGAATTAGCCGGGAATCAGAAAAGTTCAAAATTCTGAAGCAAATAAATACCCAATACAATTTCGAAGCAAATGTATTCATTCGCATCTTGGTTAGAGCAAGAAATTTACACTAAATACGTAAATCCCTTGATTGATTAAAAAAAAAAAAGTATAACTTCACACCGACATTTATTCAAACACGATCAAGACAAATGAATTTTGCATCTCAATCAGAACAGGAAAGTCAAAATAGACATTCATAAGTCAGATATAAAAGCATTCGTGCTGCACAAAGATGCAATAAGAAATAAAAGAACAAAAATACTTTGTCGAAAGGGAAGGCAAAAGAAATATAAGAAGAAAGGATCAATTGGTGTAATAAAAAAACTCACTCAGAATTTAGGGGTAGTTGGGGATCGGATGGATCTCCCGCCCCGAATTTGACGACGACGGCGGTAATCTGTCGGGGGCGACTTTTAGATTTAACGTCCACTTTACTTGTCAATGGGATTTCTTATACTACAGCTGGTTAGCGATGTCGTCGGGCCTAATAGATAAATAGCTGCACTACCGCATCTGTGCGTAACGGTTTGGTGCTGCCCTGCTGCTTTTCCTTATTATCGGGGTTAAGTATATTTTTTTCTTTTTTCTTTTTTTTTTTTTGGCTAACACAGAGTGTTGGAATTAGAGTTGTCACGGTGGATAATTCAAGATTAAGTAATTAGTGTAATTAGATCAATTTTTTAATTTTATTTAATAAATAGGTCAAAATGAATCACTCTAATCCACTTGAAATTTTACTCTTTTTTTTTTTTTTTGCATGTTCTATGAAAAGATATAATAACATTTTATTGTTATCAGATTGGTAGAAAATTGGAATTTATCTACCTAATATCCACTAAAAATTGTGTTTAAATGTATAATAATTTTTAAATAGATATAAATGGATAAGTCTAGTCAATTCACTACTCACAATTTAAATGAGTTTAATTCAGTATCCATTTAGATTCATTCCAAATTCATTGCATTTCTAAATCTATTTATTAGTGGGTGTATCAATATAATTGGGTTACGATAGACACCTCTAAGTAAAATTTAAGAAACAGGGAGAGGGCAATTCTTTATTAAAAAAGTAAAATGTTTTAGGTCGATAAAAGATAAAATGTTTTACCTTGGAGAAAAAGTAAAATGTTTTGGACACAATTGTGTATAATCATTTTGGGTTTCACGTAAAAATAAAATTGTACGGGTGAGATCTAGCTACCCATGTCTACTTCTTTTTTGTAGGAGGAACTTAATGTGTTACCTTTTTCAAAAAAAATAAAATTGCAAAAGTGTTTATATGAAAGGAATGTGAATTTATGCATTCAGATATATATATATTAATAAAGAGAACCTATTTTTGCAAAAGTATCTGTCAAAAAAATTTTTTTTTTTCAATTTGTGAGATCAAAACTGAACAGCATCAAAAGGGCCGCAAGCTTTTTTGTGTTTTTTGTTGTTTTTAGCTAGTATTTGGCTACATAATTTATTTATTTTTTTTTTTTTTGGTGGCAAAAATGTCATTCTCGGATTCTATCGACGCAAACGCCGTACCAATTACACACATGCAATGTATAAGGACATAAGCAACAGCTGGTCAGCTGCCACGGCCGACACAGTTAGGCCCGTCAGGTGAAATTTGAAGCCTTTCCTCAACCAAAATGTACCTACTACCGTCATGATAATGAGTTTTAATTCAATCAGATGTTCCGAGGGACGATTACGAGTTATAAGAACTCAAAAGAGGGTTAAATTAGGTGATAAGGGGAAAAAGAATCGTAAAATCCTCGATATAAGACTGTCAACTTAAAAAAAAAAAGAGGCAATCCCAGGCACAAATGACATAATTGCGAGTTCCAAGAACTCAAAAGCCCTCTGCAAAAGAACTCAACGCTGACGTAAATGAATAGGGAACAAAATACTGCCTGTTGTAAACTGGCGAAGCAAAGAATCATACCTTGATTAGTTTAGATTCATTTTAGTTTCGGTGGCCGCAGAAGACACTGCACAAACCTGATTAGCATAGCCAATGGAAGCCAATCCTGCTTCTAACTGAGCAGTTTACATTGAACTCCCAGGTCATACAGCTAATAAAAATGCACAAACCACCTGCTGTAATTTATGAACCATGATGCGATGGGACTCGGGTGAAAACCGATGATATTTCTGAATCAAGAGAAAGCTAATAGGATTTCAGATAAATATAACAAATCTACTGTCATCCTCAACCTTGATTTTGATTGCTGCATTTCAGGGCCAGTATTCGCTCAAGGAAAGTCAAGGTGCATTAAGACCTTGTTCAGAACAAAGCTATATGCATAATGGTACAACAAAATTCTAGAACTGACAAGAATACATTACATATTCCAACAGGAAGATAGGATGACGGGATAAAAAATCAAATGTTTCATCTGAAATCATTTTACTGCAGAAGCTCCTAATCACGATCAGCATCCTCTACTTCTTCATCTTCTGGAACTCCACGAATATAGAGAACATTATTACATCTACAGAGAAAAAAATATGTGCATCAGATGCTGAAAGTTATCCTACACAGTAATAAAAGCACAGTAACATGCATCAGAACATTGTTACACGGTATTTCATGATTTGAACTTTCTACCACGTACCACAATTTTTTTCCATCATTAAGACTGATCTCATCCAGAATCATGGAATAAAAGCAGTATCTAATTGGAAATGCAAAAAGGAACCCCAAAAACTATTAACTGAAAGCAACATTGGAACTACAGTTAAAATACATTCAACCATTTAGGAGCGGCCCAAAGTTATAAAGACTTAACACCTCCCATATACTGGCAAAGGTTCTCAGATGATTCAACAGCATACCAAATAGGAGTGTAAGGTTTTTAGATTAAACAGAAAATATATTAGCAGATAAAATTACCTGATCAGAATCTCTCCAAGATTTCCAGTAAACTGCCCCTCAATATATTCCTCAGCATTTGCTAGCTGAAAGTATAATGGTAAAAGCGAACAAGTGATTTCTTTTGTCACAATATGGAAACAAATTCACAGACTAAAGCTATTTATTCAAAGTACTACACCAACAAAAACACATGTAATATGAACTTCAGACCATGCTGACTAAAACACAATCTTAAACTACGTGAATTGACTAACAAAATGCTTCTTCTGGAATTTTCAATGTCAATAAATTTTCTAATAAAGAAAAGCAACATGTATCCAGTTACAGGAGCAAACTATTTCACACAAAATTACCCTCTAAATCACTACCTGCAAGTTCATGTATGAGTCCACAGAGACAAGAAAACCTGCAATCGATTCAAAATGAGAAGATTTAAATCTTTTGGAACATAAGTTTGGACACAATTAAATAAAAAAAGCTTGGACACAATAGCTCAGAACCAAAGAATACTCAAAGATTTATCAAATCTTGCAAGCCAAAATACCTTTGTACTCCATACCCCACTTGAGCTTTACCATAACAGGCTGTCCAGTAAGATTGTTCAGGAAAGGTTTAGGATTAACTGGTACAGTCTGCATCAAAACATGCCAGGAGAAGATTAAGCTTCCAATAAAACTATAGATGCATAAGAAGTAAATGCAGGTAACCAATAAGGCTGCTGTCGTAGTTGCCATTATACAATGAGTGTATAAGCATAATTTGACCATTAAATGAACTTCAGGCCATAAAAACTAAAAATACTCCAGCACTGACTCATGAATAAATTCAACATGGAAAAACATGAAACCACATTACAATGATATCCTTACGCTGCTTGAATGATTATGGAAAGAGCCTTTAGGTAAATCAACAAAGCAGTATCAGAAGCAATTTTAAGCACATACTTCCAAAAAACAAAGCAGACAGAATATCTCAGGTTGTACTGGATAAACTAGACAACTGTGTCAAAGTAATGACTACATCCTATTGCACATTTGAATAAGAGTTCATTTTGGGTGGGACAGGGAATTCTACAATTTAACGTGTGCTATTGTTTAGCAATACACCATTCCCCCTGAAAATTTTGGACAGTGTAATACCCCTAGGTCATAACTACCATGGCCTACCTTCCCAACTGGAAACAACACAAGTAGAGATACATTATTTCTTGACAACTGTTTGCTCATCAATGCATTATTTAAAAAAAAAGAAAAGAAAAAAGAACAACTCCACAAGCACAACTGTGTAGCGCACCAATCAAGTCTTTTAATTATTAAGGCAGACGAAGCCAAATCCCCATAACATAGAAAGTGTTACTATAAACAACTAAAACTCACCTCACTAAGTTGAGCTTGAAGGTCACAAGTAATGGTAGTATAACACCGGAAATTTACTCCTTTCCAATCTGAAAGCTATGACAAACTTTTCCTTTCCCCTCTAAAATTTCCCATCAAACCACATTATCTGGAAAAAAAAAATCTCATGATGCCTACCCCATATTAATTATGCTCTAGCTCCAACTGTCCAACAGCATCAATTAGCAAACTTTATTCCACATAACCCGGCTTCCCCTAATTCATTATAACCAGCATTACGTGCCCTATACAACCTTAAAATGGCTGGCTCAACGGCCCAGCCCCGCCCCGTATTACTGGTAATTATTTTATGCGATTTTTCCTTAACCATTATGACAATCCAAACTTTTAGCAGGGAAGACAGATTTGGAAGGAAAAACGGGAAGGGAAAGGGCATAGAGAAGGCGAGAGTCCTACCTCCGTCAAAAGACGAGGTACATAAACTCAGAACCCGAAGCTAATCAAATTCTCATTCTTAGCTCTCAATTTTTTTCCCTCTGTTCCTTTTTTCCCATAAAATTTTCGATTTGCTAAGCAGCTACAATACAGAACACAGAATTGTAATTAACTTCACCAATTAAACGGGCAAGACAAAGTGAAAACGACCAATCGAACAACTTCCAACAAATAAATTAGCCAAATCTAATCACAAATCTCTTAAACGAGACAAGGAAACGAAAATGGTGATACTTACAGCCATTATAGTTGACTGGAGAGCAGCGGAGCTTCTCTATCACCTGCAACGGCGGAGACGGGGAAGTTTTAGGGTTTTCGGGCTGAAAAAGAGCGAAAGCTGAAAGGGTTTTAGAATTTAAACTGCTGGTCGAAGGAGGTACGTTGAGGCGTAGAGCATCCAGATAACGACATTAGTTTCATTTTTGGTACTCCAAATTGGCCAAAAATCATCGTTTGGTCCCTCATACTGAAGAGATCTCAATTTGGTCCTCCGAAGCAGTAGTGCGTTTCATTTGGTCCCTGAAACTAAATAAAGTTTCATTTTAGTCCTATTAATTATAATGAAATCTCAATTTAATCCCTCAAACTAAAAAATTTTCAACTTAATCCTCCAAATTGGGAGGACCATTCCAACTTGTCCCCCAAACTTATTTTTGCTGGTTGAGAATTTATCTCTAAGATGTTTTTTTTTTATTTATATAAATTCCAACTTAGTGTGTTTGGATTGCTTTGAAAAATTGCTACGTTTTTTGTAGACACATTTTTCAATCACCTTTTTACCTCACATATATCGAATCGCTACAGTAATTTTTCTATAAAAAGTCCAGAAAAATGCAATCCAAACAAAGCAGTATGCCAACTTGTTTTTGCTTCCATTCACAAAAAAAATGAAGCGTCTTTTTGAAGAAGATTCCCATGGAACGAGCTACAATCTACTATCCTGCTAAGCTTATTAGGATTTTATTACTATTTTCATATTGATAGATAAATTCTAAAACTCTGTCAGTTGCATGTCTTGTTTCATTGTTTCTTAATCATGCCCATCAATTAAGTTAATACAGCAGTATCAGACTTGATCCAACTAGATTCTTTCTGCCATTCAACTAGATGCTTTTGGTTTTGCATGTATGCATGTGCCTATGTAGGTATCTGCATATCTGTCTATTATCATCGCTTAAACATCAGTCTTCTTATCTTTGCAGATAATTACTTCATAAAAAATTAATCCACCACATCTTGCTTCTCAACCGCAATCACCCCCCTACATAATCTCCTATATTCCTTTCCCATTAATGATTTGGTGACAATTCATGAAGTCAACTCATTAACTTAGTTGAGACATTTAACGTGGAATTATTCACATTCTCAAATGATTAGAAGATTGAAGGAAGTGGATATGAGCATTCGAGTCTTGTTTGTCTACTGAAAGGACCAATGAGGTCGAAGCAAATTCTTAGATGATGACAAGAAAAGAATGTGGGTATTTCATAACATACACTAGAAAGCTGCCGCAGCAATGATTAAGTGCAAAGTGCAAGCTAGCTGCTTTGCAGTTTGCATATGCCCACCAAAGCACGGTAGAAGGTAAGATTACAGATGTCATTTGATTGAAGAAATACGATAACGTACGAACGAAGCTGGGAGACAAAATCCCCCCACCACTGACGAGGGATAATAGATATATTGATAATTGACAGCGGAATATGGGTTGGTGACCATAGTGGATTGTATTTGGTGTCATCGGTTTATAGGATTTCCAGATGAAAACTACGTGTTCAAGAGTGAAGAATGAAGAGGGCGTGCAAGGCTGGAGACTATACCATACGCGGAAATGTTAATTATGTGTCTTCTACTAGTAATCAAGTCAAATCCACTCTTTTCTGTCGAGAAATGGAGAATGAGATGGGAAGCCAAATGTTAAAACCGAAGCCAAGAAAATTAGTATACAGGTCTATAATCCGTTGGCTTTACGCATCAAATTAATGGCATAGATAATCTAATTAAACCATAATCCGTTGCTGCAACAGCACACTTACTCAGACTAATTCGCTGATTAACCTAGTCAACGAACTAATTGATGAGGTAATCTTTTATCAAAACTCGTAGAGTGGATTTTACACACACACACACACACATATACACACACTAGTATGTTCTTTTAAATTCATAAATCATAAAGAGGTCGCTTATGCACTAGTTGTAACGTTATACTCGTGGGCGTTAATTCATACCAAATTGTTGGCTTTACACAATTACTTTGCTAAATGTATAAAAACAGATTGCACGACTAATCATCAATCGATTAAAGACACTTTCCATCGGTTAAATCCGACGATTATTTTGTTATCCATCGTCCAAACCCATACGGAGGTGAATTCTTACGAGTCGGGTTTTGTTTGCTTAATATGCTTTCACTTGAAGTTCTGAAGTTCGCATCAGAGTATGTGATTTACGCAAACTGGAAGGCTGGGAAAAGATTGCTCTAGATGTCCGTTCCACGGCGGTGCCCTCACATATTATCCGGCGACAAACATATGCTCAAACACAACCCAAGACGCAATCGAATTTTCTGATGGATTTCCCCGACAAACTTCATCCAACGAATTGGTTATTCTTAAATGTGAACCTGAAACCAAAACAAAAAAATTTGACAGAGTTAGAAAAAATGTGAACATTGAGACAAAGTTGAGATCAGATAATGCATCCCACGGATCCCCTTATCTAAGTTCGTTAGGAGCCTCAAGTCAAAAGTGGGAGCCAACTTTGTGGAGAATCTGCATGAAAGGCTAGAGGATCAGAGGACAGGCAACCATATCACCACGCCACCAACGCCACTATCACTGTACCACAATAGACCGTTCCATTTTGCAATCATAAATAGTAGTATTGAGAAGCTACTAGAAAGCCATGCAAACTTAAGAATGTTGGCTTCGAAATGCCTATATAAAGGACCCCTTACCTTAACCTCATTGGCAAGCATTCCAAACCTCGTTATGTTTTCAGTTCTTAGACGTTCTTGATTAAGCACAGAAAGACACATATAAACCAATCCTTATACTACTTGTTTTGCATATTGGGAGTTAATTTGAAAATGGCCCATCCCAAGTTGATAGCTTATGCATTGTTGGTTTTGCTTCTTGTGGATCTTGCTTTTGCTGCTAGACTTGGGAAGGTTGCCATTGGCGCAGGAGGAGGAGGACGTGGTGGGAAGGGGCGCGGTTCAGGTTCTGGTTATGGTTCGGGGAGTGGCTCTGGACAGGGTAATTATGACGAGGGACATGTAACCGGGGGAGGGGGAGGTGGAGGTGGAGGTGGAAGTGGTGGTGGTGGTGGTGGTGGAGGCTCAGAGTTTGGTAATGGTTCAGGATACGGATATGGATCTGGTTACGGCTCAGGCTATGGCTCAGGAACAGGAAAGGGAGGAGGTGGTGGAGGAGGTGGTGGCAGAGGTGGAGGAGGAGGCGGAGGTAGTGGAGGAAGTGGTTCAGGCTACGGAAGCGGCAGTGGTTCAGGATATGGAAGTGGTGGTGGGAGAGGAGGAGGCGGAGGAGGTGGTGGTGGTGGTGGAGGCGGTGGAGGTGGAGGTGGAGGTCATGGTGGTGGTTCTGGATATGGCTCAGGTTATGGGTCTGGTTATGGATCAGGATATGGTGGCGGTGACGGAAGCGAGGAGCCATGAACTACTGCAAATGCATAGGACCATCTCCTTCATACTACCATTCCATCATCAACATCTGTAATTGCAAAAATAAGTTGCATGCTTGTCTTATTTGCATGTAGGTATTCTAAAATACTTGTGATATCATTCTGTACTACTATTACTCTATCATTTGAATAACTTTTTGGCATTTCATTTTGAAAGCCTCCCATTCATTTTGGCGAAAAAAAAAATAGCGAGTTATTTGCAAGTAGCAATACGACCATTAGTGAAGTAACACCGCTATATAACCATGAAAAGCATCACCTTTCACCGAAGCCAGAAAATTCAAACGGAACAAAATAATCTTGAAAGAAGCAAGATCCATCGAAACAGTTGATGATATTGAGAATTGGACGCCAAAACAAATTTTCAAAATGAAAGTTTATTATCATTTCTTAAGACGGATCTCAGCAAGGTATTTGGTCCCCAGAAAACAATGTAATGAATCGAAAATCTAATAGCTAATAAGTGGCATCTAGTGAATTTCACCTGCTGCATGTGTGAGTGTTCAAAACTTGTCTGAGAGTGCACAAACTTTTTATCTTTGGCAGAAAAAAAAAAATTAGGGGCCGTGATGGGGACTGTGGAAATAACAAAATGCGGAAAATTCAAGAAACTGTACCAAACTTTTTTATAGCACTTAAATATAAGCACACCAAAATATAAAATGCGACGTAGGCAATCAGCGTAGTAAGCATCTTCTGGCAAGTGCTAATTTAAAAAGGTAAATGTTTTTCTCTCATCCAATTTAAAGTATCTTCAAATTCCTTCCTTCCACAACCATCCCAGTCCCCCACCCCAAAAGAAAAGATAGACAAATATGAGAGTTCCAATATTAATTTAGCCACTAGTAATGTAATGAAGAAATAATTTAGCCAAATCCCAAAAAACTCTCGACATAGAACGTTGACTGAACTTAACTCAATCCTTCTAAAATCTAAACACAACAAATATTAATTTAGCACTAGTAATGCAATGAAAAAATGATCAAACAGACAATAATCAATCGACCCCAGATCAGTCTTGAAACTAATCTGGCAATGGGCATCAGCAACTCCAGCATTGAGAATTCCCCAAAAAAGTTCGGGCTAATTTAGCAGCTCAAGCCTTCCAGATGCTATTGGAAATTGAAACCTCAAAAAGTACAAATACCAACAAATGCATGACAGATAATGTCGAAACACCATACCAACAGAAGGGAGCCTCAAAATTTTTAATCTCAAGCCTAGTATCCGAAGAATACACCTCAGACATGATAGCTCTAACTTAATGAATTACATTTATATGTTATCCGTAAAATGTAAGTATTATATTTTGTCTAAGGAGTCAGTTATAATGTCCTACTCTGAATATTTTTCATTTAAGAATAATTCTCCACGCTGTTCATTAGGAAAGTGCTCTCTTCCAAAGAAACCTTGATAAATCTTCTGCAATCACCAGAGTTTTAACGGACTAACCACAGTAAGGAATGTCCATAACTAACAAAAGTTATGGAATGTGCATAGACAAGGTAGGACCACTCAGAACTCCAACGAGAACACATGAAAACCTGCTTCATCACCTCTCAGAGACTGGTGATACCTTTCGAGATATCATAGCCTCAGCCGCACGGATAGCTCTTTGGGTTCCCGTGATAGTAACTTTCCTGCAGAAAGGACAAAAGCTTTAAAACTTCCCAAGTAGCAGAACTGACCCAACATCAACAAAAGTGAACCATTCATACCTATCAGATGTCCCAGACATGAAATCACCCCTTTCAGAAATTTTAATTCTTGCCCCGCTAAGCTGCAAAGTTAGGAGTCCATTTAGTAAGCTGCCTCACAATTGTCAAATCAGGAGAAACTTTCTGCATAATCAGCAAGACAAAAGACAAAAGAAAGAATGAGGAATTTCTACCTGACTAATTTCAAAAATATTCCTTCCACCCCTGCCAACAACTAACCCTATATGCTCATCTGCAACACCAATTGTTACAGAATTACTCCTCTCCTCCTGCTGATTATAGAATGACATATGGTCAGCCAAACTAAGAAAAACAAGAAACTGTGTAGCTATAAACAAAAAGTAAGTTTAGAAAAAGAAGCAGATCGCCGTCATGCTTTGCATCAAAGAACATGAGCTCCTCTAGAGTAGAAGCTGTATCCTTGCCAGCAAAGGGAGGGTGTCAAAGGGGCCGCCACTCAAAAGGTTAAGAACCACACTTGTCCCGTGTACAATTACACATATCTAAATTAATTCTCAACAACTGTTACATGTTGTTGCCTGACATTCTTAGTTTTATCTTATTATCAATCTTCCTGAGCTAATGGTCATGCTAGGTATGTTCAGGCACTGCCATTGCTTATTAAAAAAATGAATCTTTATGTTTTTCGCAAACTTGGATTGTAAATAAAATGAACCTAGAAAAAAACACAAAGTACACAGTTAAAAGAATATGGTAATGGAAAGAAACAAGTACATTGATAAAGTAAGCCATATAGAAAAATCTACAGTTCTGTAACTTATTAAGTTCAAAGTCGGGAAGCGACTAACGAAAAGAATATACACAAAAGCATCTGCACAGTGGGGTTCTGAGAAATCATGACTTTAATCTGACAGAGAAAGTGTGGAGCATAAGGTAGTTTTTTTAACAAAAAAAGGCACCAAGATGCAAGAGATGGACAACAGAATATAACTCAAGAGGCCAACCTTATTCTGAGACCTGGCATTCTGAAATTTCCCTCCAACTCCATTTGATGCATAGTTCATTCCATTGTAGCCTACTACTGAAACCATCCAAAAAACCAAAGGAATAGGTTGACTACACCTTCAAATTGATATCGTCAAAGTCAAGAATCTAGTATCTAATGAACGTAGCATCAGATGTCAATTATTCCAAATACATCAGATCGTATAAAAGAACAAAGTACACTGCAAAGGCCATTAACTTCCTAGAAATAAAATTAAGAGGATATCTTTAAAATCCCTGACAGTTAATTTCGTGAACATATAACAACCTCAACCACCTAAAGCAGTGCACGAACAGAGACAGGAAAAAAGACCTCATCGCCCTTGACTTCAAAAAAATTGCTAAATTGCCGTCCATGACGATGTTCTAATGTATCCAGCATGTAGAAACCACAATGTAAGCCAAAAAAGGCATATGCAAGTACATTAAAAGAAACAACCTTTTAAAATTTCCAGAAGGTAACAGGTAGAAGGAGAACTCACAGAACTTAAAGAACAGCTGATGTGTTGGCTTCAAAAAGGAAACAAATTAAAGAAACACAAACTTGGCATTTCCTTGTAAAACTTCAGTTTGAATCAAGCATCTATTCCCAAAAAAAGTATATTTTGAGCAAAGAAAGAAACTAAGTCCGCTTAATACAAGTTACTTTGATCCTGAAGCCTTCCTACCAGTACAATGATCTGAAGCATGAGCCAAGCTGTTGGTGATGCCTATAATCAATAAGCAAGGAACCTGATATAGATTGGCTTGCACCAAAACTGTTTTTAGTTAGGTGATTGCAATAACCTACGAGTAAAAAATACCCTTTTCCAAAATTTTTTACTTCATCCAACCATAGAGCTGTTTCCAGACAATACAGACTTCAAATGAGCAGTCTAAGCTAATTTAGAGACCATTTGGAAGTATGGTGTTTCTTGCTAGAAGCGCTCTTCTTTTCCAAAGGTTCTTCTACAGGTATTCAGCTGAAAATCATAGTTACTCTTTGGATAAATTATTTGCTTCCGGAGAAGCTCCTTGTTGGAGCTTTCAAAAACCACTAAAAAGCCACACACTCCCAAACAAGCACTTATAGGATGTTTTTTATTCTAGGATTTCATTCTCTTTAGAGACTTCAAACAACCCCAAAAGTTCTTTGTAACAAAACAAGTGAATCACTTACAATTCCTTTAAATCCACAGGAAACCATTTTGGAAAAACTTTGCAAAAATGAAATAATTTTCAAAAATAAATGACTGAGAAGAAAAAAACATGCAATGAGAATGAGCAACTACTAGTAGATCTACTTAAATCTTAGACAAAGATTGTCTTCTCAGCAGACTATCAGTACCTGGATACGGAAATGGTGCACTGACAGATTGTACATAATGGAGGTCTTCTGCCAACTTCAACAGAATCAACTCAATCGCCCGCATCTGTTCCCTTAGAGTGCCATTTACTGTTACTAGCCTATCATATAGGCCAGGGTAACTATTATCTAGAGGGGATATTTTGATGCCGGCATGAGAATCTTCAATAAGTGACCTAAAAACAAATCAAGCCAGAATGTTTTAAGAAATGTGATACTAAAATCATCTAATGAGTATTAGCAATGGTGCCATAAAAGTGGTACAATCTTTGCCTCCAAACACACTTGTCTCTGTGCACAAAAAGAGTTGCATGAAATACTTCTTCTACAATTTATGAGCTCCTCCTTAATTTTTTCAACTGCTTTTTCACTTAGATTTGGGTAATGCTACAAAGCCAAGACCCTATAGTGATTGCAAATATCTATCCCTAGACTATTAGTATCTATACCGATGTCCATATCTACAGAAAATTCACATTCACACAGGAAAATAGAATAGAATAGCAGCGAGATTTTGATATTATTTTTTAAAACCCAGTCATATTTTATTCATAAATTCTATCAAATAAAAAGGGAAGTTTGAACCTAGATGCAAACTCCAAACCCCACCCCCCCCCCCGGCGGGGGTGTTTCTTCCCTGAAGCACCAAATTCATAATTCAAATAGTAAATGAATCAAAACCATGCAAATTGTTTTATCCTATGCCAATAATGTATTATCGCATGCATGTGTTAGATGGACAGTCCATCTTGGAGATGCCAAGTCTCTAAGATTATTGATAACCAAAAGCTACATTAATTTGCAGCAATATTTCCAGAACTCCAGTCACTGCTGAATTGAGTGAACTGCTAAATACTATCCTTTTAGAGCCCCAGTTGTCTGATTAGCTAATGAAAATTATAGACCAGATGAGATAAAACTATGAATGTCAATGTTATCAGAGAAATTTAAACTACCAATGCACTGTGATAACAAACTACTGAATAATATGACATGGAGCACTTGCTCCATCGGGAACATCTCTATCATTTTTTAAGTCAAGATACAAGTCAATCACCAATTTCTCACTTACATT